TTCTGGGTCCCTCACTGCAAGAAAGACACTGAGGCCCTAGAGTGTGTCCAGAGAAAGGCAACAAAGCCGGTTAAGGATCTGGAGCACAAGCCTTACAAGAGCAGCTGAGGGAGATGGGATTATTTAGTCTGTAAGAGGCTCAGGGGAGACCTTACTACTCTCCTGAAGGGAGACTATGGAGAGGTGGGGGTTGGCCTCTCCTCCTGTGTAACTACTGATAGGACAAGAGGGAATGGTCTCAAGTTGCACAAGCGGAAGTTGAGGTTGGACGTTAGGAAAAGCTTCTCAGAAAGAGTGATCAGGTGCTGGCACAGGCTGCCAGGAACAGGATGGTGGAATCGCCGAACTTGGAGGTGTCCAAGAATCATTCAGATGTTGTATTGAGGGACATGATTTAGTGGGAAATATTGGTGATAGGTGGATGGTTGGACTGGGTGATGTTGGAGGTCTTTTCCAACCTTGGTGATTTCACAGTTCTACTCCGTGGATTCTATGATTTCAACAACAACAAAAAAAATAGTATGAGTAAATGGTTGTTAAGATTGAACAAAATTGTACCAGAGAGCAGTATCCTTCTCTGCTCATTTAAAAACTTGAAGGGCAAGACAACCTTCTGTAACAAGCAGAATTAAGAATGACACAGACAGGCTTGAGCACTGAGAAGGATAAAGTCTCCCACACACACCACTCTGCTGGGGACTGACAAGCCAGTCTGAATTTGTCGCTTCTGTGGTTTCAGCTACTGTCCATGCAGAAAGAAGCAAACGCTTAGGGCAACTGCGTAAACCCACACAGTTGTTCTTTATTGGAACTGTTAAGACTGGAAGATTCATTCAGTTTCACCAACAATACATGAAAAATGGAACAGACAACAAACAGAACAATCGCGCATACACAATGCATAGGAAAAACCTACAGAACGTGGGGGAAAAAAAAGTGGCATAAAAATGACAGTGTCACAGAACGGTGACCTCAAAGTGAATGAGTGATGACGACCATAGATCATAGAAACACAGAATGGCCTGGGTTGAAAAGGACCATAATGCTCATCTAGTTTCAACCCCCTGCTATGTGCAGGGTTGCCAACCACCAGACCAGGCTGCCCACACCCAGCCTGGCCTTGAATGTCTCCAGGGATGTGGCATCCACAGCCTCCTCAAGCAACCTGTTCCAGTGTGTCACCACCCTCTGTATAAAAATAGGTAAGAGACGACACTTAAAAGACTCATAGAGGTACTACCCTAAGTAGTGATAACAGAAATGGCATGTATTAAGATGAGGAAAGAGTAAGACTGCCTTCAGCCAGGGAACCGCTTCAGTCTTCAATTCTAAAACCATTATTGAGAAGATACACAGCCTGGATAGAAAGCCCAATGCTTCACATTCTTCTACTGGCAGCAAAGTCACTAAAGAAGTTCAGTAAAGTACAACACATCACATCACCATAAACAAAGAATAGATCTAAAATTAATATGGGTGCAAACAAGGATTATTAGTTTCTCAGCTTCATTATTTTGGATTATTATTGTCTTCCTCCTAGGAGCCACAGTTAAATACAAGCACTGCTTGACGTTCATAGTGCAACGTACTAACATTTTTGCTGATTTTTTTTTGGGAGGGCGGAGGGGTTCAGTTTAACCACATGCAGGCAGAGTCTGAAGGTATCTCTAAAATGCTGGTATTGTGAAGAGATAAATCAAAAGATTACCAATTCATGCACTGCATTAGAAGAAAGAAGAAAGGTAATTTGTTTGTGCATACATTAACACAAGTACCAAATAAAACATTCAGAACAAAAGAAATCATTGAAATGGCAACATTTGTATTTACCAACCTAAATATAATTCAACCAACGAAACCCCCACAACTGAAAGATCAAGGAGTAAATTTTCAGGTCAGGTACTCATATCTTAACAACTGGACATGGAAAGGAGAAACCTCTAGCCAAAAAATCCACGCACACCTCTTGGTCAGACAAGGGACACAGAGCTTGGCTAACATTCTATATAGTGACTGCAAAGGATGAATTGTTCAAATTAAATTTAAGCCGTAATAAAACTGCAGAGCAATGCCAGAGGCATGTGAAGAAGCACATATGCTGCCTTCCTCCCATGACTTACTAAGATACTATTAGGCAGCCACTGTATCAGGCTTTCTTGCAGTCAGACACGCAATTAGTACACGCAGAGATCCCTGTGAGCTCATAGCCATTCTGAATACTGCTAGTGTATTGAATGCACTGGCTCAACTCAAGGCCCAGAGGTCAGCAAAAAATCAGTTCTCACTCATTTCCTCTCTTCTGTTGCACACAAGGATTCCTATCAAACCACACTTACTGGTATTTATCTTCCTCGGGAAAAAAAAACACCTCAAGAACCACATGTAGGACAGCCTTCAGCCAAAGACAGAGAATTCTCAGCAAGCATGCATCGCAAAAATTGCTCAGCGCCTTCCACGTCAGAAGTCTATTTGTTTTTACTTCTGTGGTTAGCACCATGGAACACCCAGACACTGAAATAGGATTAAGCACTGTTACGCTCACTGCTAGATATGAACACGTGACTTGTACCCTAAGGAGCTTGCATTGAGTCAGCAGAGCTCTGCGCACCAGGCAGGCAGGGCCGTGTGGGCTGAGCTGTGCTGCACTGCACTGCCCGACCTCAGCCAGCACTGTGCTTTTACTGAGAACACGTATGCCACAACTGCCATTACATCTGTAATGATACACAAGTTATCCGAGTGGTTGGCTCTTCGTTAGCAGTCATCGCAGTTCAGACACTTCAAGTGAGAAGGAATTGGTGTGAGTTCTTTATTTTTTTCCTTCGCTCTGAGGCTGCCCTTAACTTTTGTTTTGTCTCAATTCATGTGAAACAATATGCCGTGGGCTTCACACTGAGAGCTCCAAAACTAGCACTAAAAATACTGCATTAATTCCTGTCATTACTTCATCTGTAACAATCTGGTGTTTCTGCACACATGATAAGCACTACACGAAAGCCACAAGCAGCAGGAAGAGGACTCTGCAGAAGGAGCAAGCTAAAGCAGACAGACAGTAGAATGAGTTATGGACACTGGTTCTGTCAGACCCCCAGCAGTGTGTTTCTTGGCTGTTTTGTTTTCTGTCTTACTTACATTGTCAGATTACCATCAGCACCCACGTCTCTTAACCCTGTTGGCAGGCAGCACAAATTATTCTAAGGCAATTAAAATACATCTGTCAGTGTTAATTTCTATGTCAGCAGAATACAGACAAGTACCCACAACGTTACATACACAACAGCTCCTCATCCTTCAGACAGACAAGGAACTAGAGCAATAATGCAATAATTTCAGGCACAGTATAGGAAGATTCACATACTGGTACCACATGTGGCAGCTGCATGCAACTAAAAGCAATGCCTGTCCCCACTTTGTAAATTCAATGGCAGAAGTGCGGCATTAAAACCCCACATCTCAAAGAGCTGAGAAGCAAATCAAAGTTAATCCTAAAGTGCATCAGCTGCAAAAGGAGGGAAACCTTCCTGTTGGAAACTTAGAGTACTGTTTGTAACTGAAAATTCATTTTTCTAAATAGAAACTGTAAGATCCAAGACTATAACAATAACAGCACATTTCACCCTAGAGAGCATGCAACAAAATTTATAGCATGCAATAAGCAAAGGAAAGACTATTAGATATACATGCATAGGTGCTCTAATTAGACCCAATTCTTTAAGATGATATATATGCTTTCAAAAGTAAGTGAGCTGGCTGCACGCACACTGTTGCGACAAGCTAACCCCATTACAGCTCAGCATCACTTCCTGCCCTCAGTGACCATGCAGCAGTGTCAGCCTGACCACAGCTGCTCAGCAGCACCTCAGAGCACAGCATGTACCTACACCTGCACAGAGAGCATTTCCCTTCCCTACAGTTCCCCTCCCAGCTTCCAGACCTGGGTCCTGTGCAAAGCAAACAGGATAGCTGGATCCTAACGCAGAGTGTGGCTGTGTGGCTGGACATCAGAGCAAGGAGAAAGGTGATGTGGGATTGGGAACTCTGCTGGTTAGTCACTGCTAGGAATAAAAATAATAATTATTGTAATAATAAAGTGAAGCTCATGGAAATTGGAGCTGTGGTTACCTATGCCTTCATGCAAAATACCAATGCTTTAAGCACATGAACCAGACTTAGAAAAGGAGAACGAGGCATCTGGAACTCTGTGAGAGTTCTCAATGAAAGCCAAGGGATGAAGCCACAACAACCTGTGTCCCTTCTTGGGTTTGTTACAAGCATTAGAGCTCAGGAAAATCACGGGGCATACAAATCACCCCACGAGGAAGGAGTGCACTCGTTAAGTGCCCTCTCACCAGCCATTCCACATCTCCTAGTAAAAACAAACCAGCAAGTGCTGGGGAATAATTCCAAACGGCTTCAAGTAACGGAGTATTTAAAGCTCAAACAGCTTAATTCGCCCTCAAACGGACATTTCATCAACTCAGCGCCATCCTGAAGCGCCTGGATTTAATTAACCTATTTTCTTGAGACGCGGGCAGGAAAGAAAATAAATAAATAAATAAATAACAGCGACAGCCCTTCTTCCTCGTGCCGAGCAGCGCACACAGCGGGGCAGAACCGCCAACACGGGTGGACCCCGGCGGCAGCTCCCGGCGGAGCGCGGCAGCAGCGGGACGGACGCGGGGCCGCGCGCTAGGAACCGCGCTCGCTCCGGCGCCTCATCCGGAGTCAGCCCCAGCTCACAGCTAACGCGCACGGAGCGCGCCGGGAGCGAAACACAGAGTGAGAACCCTCCGGAGCGGGGAACAGATTTTTGTTTAAGTGGCACGCCGCCCCGAGAAGTGCAGCCGGAGACGCCGGAGGACCGCGGGGTTACCCACGGTGCGCGGCTCCCGCTGCCCTTCGGACGGTGCCCGACTCCTCAGCCCACGCAGCCCCGCCGCCAAGTCCGCCCGCCCGCGCCTCCCGCCCTGCCCCGGAGCCTACCTGAGCCCCACACCTACCGGCCCCAGGGAAGAAGGAGGACAGAAGGAGTCGGCGGGAGCAGCGACCACGAGCGCAAAGCACGACCCTAATTACGCCAGGAAGAGCAGGAGCGCGGAAAGCCGCACCGCACCTCAGCACGCCGGCTCGGCTCCGCGGGGCCGAACCCGAGCGGGGCCAGGACCGCCGCTCTGGATTGACAGCCGCCTCGGCCAACGGGAAGATGGCATTCGCCTTCCTCCTCCTGCCCGCGAGGGGCGTTATTACCGCCCGGCCGTTGAGGGCGAGGGTGTTTCCATGACGTCACGGGCGGCGCCTCGCGGCCAGGTGGGGCGGGCTGCGCTGAGGGGATGCGGGGACGGCGAGCGGGATCGCTGTACTAAGTCGGAGCTGAGCCCCGCGGCCGGGCGGGGCAGGGCAGGGCAGGGCAGGGCATACTGCGCGCCCCGGGGGTGAGGGACGAAGCTAATCCAAACGCGGCTTTAGGGCGGGCTCCGCGCTGAGGGATTGGCGGCGGCCTCAGCCGTCCTTCGCCCGCGGTGCGCTGAGGAGAAGCGTGGGGCGGGGAGCGCCGCCCCGGGGCGGACTTCACTCACACGCGCTGCCGTCCTACCGTGAGCCCTGCCCTGAGAAACCCCCTCGGAAAGAAACGTCTCCGACTAGCAAAGAGCTCTGCGCTGCTCGGAGCGGACGTGCACGTTTGGCGTTCCTGTGTTCAGTGCAGCGGAAGGCATGGTCTGAACGTAGCTCTGGGATGCAGTTACACCGGGAAGCAATTTAATTTTTCTATAGATTTGCTTCTTGCGCTTTTGTTCCGTTCTCCTGTTGGATAGAAACATGAAGCTGTATTGAATTAGCGTTATTTTCCCGGGCTAAGGGAAAGTTTAACAATAAATTAGTAGGCATGGGACGGTGCAGAGAAATAGTGTCAGTGTTTCAGTATGGCAAAATACAAGACGGTTGCATGCATCAAGGTAAATGTATAGGCAGAAAATCTGTTGGATGTAGATCGGTGTTTTTCCCTTTCAATAGATCCATCAACACAAAGCCATCCGGTCTATAATAGTTTTCTTTTAAAAAGTGGTGAGGGTGTTCCCCAGCCCTGTGCACTTAACCTTCCATTTATCCTTGCGCTTTGGTTTTTCTGTTCTGATTGATACAGCTTCAGTCTTTCCAGCGCTTTTAAGAAGAGGAACTCCACTCTCTGCAATCCAGCAGTTATTATTATTTTTTTTAATTCAGTTTCCCTTTGATCTAATGTAATGCATAATTAAATTGTGTGGTCTGAATTAAAACTCCACCATTACACCAAAACTCCACCAAGTGTGTTCTTTTAACTTGCTCTTTCCTGTGGTTTTGTAATGTCAATTCACAGTAGTGTTTCCAGTGAGTGCAACAAAAATAATTGCCTTTGCTTTCCACTTGTTTTCTTTAATTATTAGGTGAAAATAATTACTATATCTATATTGAACTCAATGACATGCAATGATTTTTCATGTTCAGGCAATCTTAGTCTCGTGTTGGTGAACAAGTACCCACACCATGTGTATAGACCAGAGAGAGGCTTGTTGTAAGAGACAAATTACATCCTAGAATTTGAAGTGAACAACTGAGACAAATCTTTTGAAGACCTTCTACAGCAGAGGAATGTGTTTATCCTTGTGTCTGAGGTGTGAGCAGCAGTAGAACTGTGTGCATAGTCCTAGACAGGAGCTATCTGTCTTGCAATTTAGCAGTATCTTTCCTTGTCTGACAAAATAAATCTGTCCTTCTATCCTTGGTACCTTTCCTTTTCCACCAGCCCTCTCCATCATGTCATTTTTGTTCTTAATCCTGTATTTATTTTTTATTTTTTTTTCCCTCAAAGACCACTCAAGAACCTTCTCTCCCTCTGACAATTTTTTTGGCAAACACCACTGTTGTCCTGTTGCATATCCAGGCTGGTATTGTGCCAGAAGCTTGCACTAGGTTTTGTATGCCTTACTTATCTATCATGTCACTTGATGTCACATGACACTGTATGTCACTTATCTGTCATCTCCCTAATCTGCCTAGCCCTCTTTTAACATATCTGTAGACTCTGGTCCCTCTTTCCTGGCTCTTGTATTTCCCAGCCAGAATTCTCCTGGTTAAGCTACCTTTGGAATGCTTTTGAATACCTCTGAGATGCAAAGTTTTCCTCTCAGGTGCCTGATGCTGCAGTGCTCATGTGAAAGCATCTCACCTCTGCTGCACATTTCATGAATTGCTGCAAATACTTGTAGAGATCTCAATTCTGTCTTTCATTTGTCTCGTGGCAAGAGCTCAAGGAAAACAGACTTTTGTCCCACCAACTCTCTTTTTCACAAGAGGCTCAACTGGCTCCAGTTTACTCATTCAGAGCGGGAAGATTACAGACTTTGTATGTCGGTAAAGCAGATGTGTGGCCAGAAGTTAGTTGAAAAATAAAGGAGAAAAACCAAAAAGGAATGCCCACCAGCCTGGCACACAACAAGGAATTATCCCAGGAGACAGTGAAGAACGTAAGCAGCCGTTCCTTCTACCATACCAAAACTACTCTTCAATAGAGTTCCTGTGCCAAATTGTCAGAAGATATCTGCTCTATCCCCAAAGTTACAAAGCAAGGGTAGGGTGAAACAGGCAGCACAGATTTGCTCTGGCTGCAGTGACCGTGCATGGGGTGTGCTTGCTGAGTAATGTGACCCATTGTAGCTATACAGCTTTTTTCCACAGCACTGCTAATCCACTCCTGGAAGGCATCGAAACGCACCAAATAAGTAAAGAAGGCTTGCATCTGAAGTCCTTGGGTTGCTTTTGTTTGTATAAACAAGTCCAAACTACAGACTTTGGAGAACCCTGCCTTTACGTATGTGTTTGTGTAGCTGCTGCCTCAGTAAGCATCCATAGATTTGGAAATAGTTGAATTCCAAATAGTAACATTCATCACTAGTACTAAATGTAAATTTCCTGCTGTTGATTTGTCAGTTCCATCCAGCTTCAGGGGAATGAGAGGACCCAGCTGTGAGTCTAGCTCCCAGGCTTACTGCAGTTGAGGGCCAGCTTGTGAATGTCAGCTGGTTACGTGTGATGAATGCGTGAATCTAACACCCAAACCACTGGAGAAGCAGGGAGTGAAGAAATCACTAAGCTTCCACTTCACACAGACAAGGACATGCAACTTTGATATTGACTTGGAAATAGTTAAAGAGAACTCCAAGGTTTTCAAGACAGTGTTTTCCTTTAAGGATAGAAACTAAACAAATTTGCCATTTAAGATTCTGGATTTGACAGTCCAGTACTGGTTTAATACATGCCAGACAGTGTTTTATAACATTTATCTTCCTCCCCCTGATTGCTGACTATTACTCATTATTCCAAGTATTCTTGGATTTCAGTATTTATCTAAAATGCAATCGGATGGAAAAAATGTTGTATTTTTTCCATATTATTTAAGGCAGAAAATACCAAAGTACATGAAAGTTTGCTATTTTCAGCAAGTATATTTGCAGAGACGTGATATGGATCTCTGCAGAATCTAGCACCCAGATGCTATTCAGTTGGAAAAGAAGTCCATAAAGCTATTGAAAAACAATTTCAGTGCAAGCTGGGCTATAGTGTCCTTCCTACTGATGCAAGCTTATTTAGCTCAGGTTGCCAGCAAGTAGGAGAGACGGAAACCTCCTGTGGGGCAGAAGGGATTAGCAGAGAGATCCCAACACTCATTGCCCTTTTCCCTTTATAAGTTTTATGCTATTGCAGAGGGAAGACTTGATGTATTTGTCATTGCAGCCAGAGTTTCTACTTAATTTGCTGGGCTCTGGGTGAGGCCCAGGCACTCCTTGTGTTATTCTTTCTCTTTTAGCTTTTGCACACAGTATTGCACACTTCAAGGCCAGAGCTCGGATTGTCCTCTTTGTTATTCTCCTGTTGAGAATAGGATCCACATTCTCTTTCTACTTTGGTTCCATTCGCTTTTTCCTTTTAATACATATAACAGGGGGAAAAAAATGTCACAACTTCAAGGCCCAGTAATTGCTGATATTGAATACTTTGATTCTTTCAGGACTATGAAGGGCACTGAATATATCTGGAAGGCTGTGGACAGATGCCTATGTATGTCATTTAGAAGGGAAAATAAATGATGTTCAAACCTTGTAAAATGTACCTAGCCAGCTATGTTTCCTGCCAGCATAGGTGACATTTTCCATTGTGTAAACTCCTTGAAGATGCTAACACTTCATTTGAGTGCACATGATATTGGGAAAGGTTCCATTATGGCAGTAACAAGCACAACCCTAAAAACATGTACAAGTCCAGTTACAGACATTAAGCTTGTTAGCAAACAGTTATTGCCTACAGATGGATTGGATGAACAGAGAGACAACGCTCCTCACAGACACTTGAAAGTCAGACTTCTGGCTTCCAGCCAAAGAGCTGCTCCAGAGCCTTTCTCCTCCCATGCTCAGGCAGTCTCCCAGTTGTCAGAACAGGCACTGGTTCCGCCAGCTTGTGCCTATTGATGGTATGCATGCCTGCACCTCAGTAAATGGTTAATGTACCTATCTAATGTGGTAGCTCTTAGATATACGTAGGTAAGAATTTCACTAGAGAGTTGAAAGCATGCCTGTTGCTGGTGTGTGAATTGATTGCATTTTGCATCAGGCGTTTTCTAAACAGAAAAGCTATTCATTCTAGCTGCCAGGTTTCAGTGGGGAAAAGCTAAGCAGATTCAGTTCTGCTGATGTACACAATAGCAATACCTTCTTTTTCTGTATCACAGCCATTAGTGTCAGGGTCTGAATTTTAAAACAATTCAGGTGTGTGCAAATATGGGTTATTTCCCATTTTCCCCGCTGGCAGCAGACCTTATTTGACAGAAAAATACATCTTCACAGACATTGTACACCGGACTCAACACAAAAGCCAGTAAGTTCACACAGGTGGTTTTGTTATGTTTTATCTTGTATTATTTTGTGCCAAAGGCTAGTGCCTCTGCTAACAGGCAGAAGCGATGTCCAGGAAACAAAATCTTCACCTTAATATAGAATAGCTTTATAGTTCCAGGCAGCTGCCTCAGACCAGATGCAGAGCTGTTGAAATCAATGGAAAAAAATCATCCTTTGGGTTTAACAGACTGAGTC